AAAAATACTCCAACCGGAGCATAAACTTGTCACCAGGAATCCGGAATGAGACGAATGTTAACTCTTTAAATCTCGGTAGATAAAGTAGGTCAGAAGATCCGGATTAATCCGAACGAGGTTCGGGAATTTTCGTCATAAGAAGTATATCAAAAATATTCGATCTGTAAGGTCAAGCAACAAAGAAACAGGGGAAAAAAGTGCTCGTGAAAAAAGGTAAAAGTCAGTGAAATATATTGAACATTGCAGAAAATAAAAATAAACAATGATTCCCAAGATTGTTGAGCATCTGATTAGTGAGTTACAAGAGGAAGGGTGCATTCCAGGAGGATACAAGATAAATTCAACAAACAATGGAACTACTATTACATTGGAATATAAAGCACACCATTTTGGCAACCCAAAGTCGCAAACCAGTACCAAGTCACCAAGAAGACTTATTAGGATTAGTGATTACAATTCTAACAAAAAACTATTGAGTGAACCTAAACACCATAAACAAAATGAATTAGGATTATATGAACAGTCAACACCTGTTACGCCTGTACTAAATAGAGACTTGTTTAAAAACAGAACTAATGGAAACAGTGAAATTGTAAACAATAACAATGAAACTGACACAGCAAAAAAGGTGACAATGACAGTGGATTTACTTCAATATTGCAATTGCGGAATCCTGGAGACAGAATAAAAAAGTGAATGTTGGGATGCAAACAGATGTGAAACAAAAAAGACACCAATCAAGTGCAACTGAAATAAAAGTGCAACATGTCGCCACTAAAACAAACAATTTGGATAAAAAACACAGAGGTTGCAGTGTCAACATCAAGAAACAATCCGACAACAAATCAACACAATGCGAAAATGAAAAATATTCCAAACTTACAAACACTGATTCTATTTCAACACATGATGTAGCAGCGATTACCAACTTCAACCTCGCAACATGTAGGGAAAGATATATGCGCCTCATTGATGGATTGGGAGTGGATCATATGTATGATTCGGATGCCTATGATTATGTGATGGAGATGAACAAATAATGGACAAATTCTAGAACAAACAATTAACAATATGTGCCAAACCTTCAAATCCATGACAAGAAACAAGCAAGATGAATTAAGGGATGCAAATGATTTTTGTTTAAATGACTAGGTTTTTTGAGACTGACGATCATATAGGACTCTATCTATCTGGAAATCCAGTGGTGTTGAATAATTGAATCAAATCAACTTCATTCAACTTCATTTCAGGCATATCAGAAGATCCTCTTGCCTTGTCAAGCTTTTCTTTGTAGGATTTGCTATGTTATGTATGAAGAATGAATAAATGAAAAAATATTCCTGTTGGAGTATAAAATTGTCACCAGGATTCCGGAATGAGACGAATGTTAACTCGTTAAATCTCGGTAGATAAAGTAGGTCAGAAAATCCGTATTAATCCGAACGAGGTTCGGGAATTTTCGTCATTAGAAGTAGATCAAAAATATTCCAGTTGGAGTATAAAATTGTCACCAGGATTTCGGAATTAGACGAATGTCAACTCGTTAAATCTCGGCAGATAAAGTAGGTCAGAAAATCCGGATTAATCCGAACGAGGTTCTGGAATTTTCGTCATAAAAAGGTAGATCATAAATACTTCCAATTGAGTATAAAATTTTACCCCAATATTCCGCAATAAGATGAATTGAATCGGCAAACAACAATCGAACAACGTTCGGAATAAAATCGTGATACAGGTGTCAGGGACTTCCCCTCATCTTTCTCGTCATGGTTCTTAAAGCCTTATATCTCTATCAAATGGGTGACACGTGACCTAATACCAACTCTGAATCAAATCAAAATCAAAATTTTACCTTGACCCTTGGAAAATATCAATGAAAAAATATCCAAGTGTTTGGATTTGCACTTTAATTCGATCATTTTATCTTCACCCTTTGATGGACTTTTATGAAAAAAGTTATGAAAACACATCATCATGTAAGTGTTTTCATCTAAATTAGCTTGTTTTATCTTGACCCCTCAATTGAATTTCATGAAAAAATATTTTATGAAATACTAAATACTTGGATAATATTTCATAAAAAATGCACTTTAAAAATAGGATTTGCCTTAATTTATCAATGTAATGTAAATATTAGATTACTCTCAAATAGGGTTTTGTTTTAACTTTTTTATTGAAATTAATACTAGGGAAGGCTTGCTCTCTGAATAGCTTTTAAAAATTCATCCCTCGGATGTGATTAATTCGTTGAAAAAAATATGACAAGTCCAGAATCAAATGATTTGTCCAGAACCTCTTAAGAACCTGTTATAATTACTGCTTAAAGGGTTAACATATTAAAAAAGCATATAATCAGTACCCTATCTATCGTAAATATATAGTTGCAACATCCTTAATTAGTAGCTAAATGAAGATTTAATGTTTACAACTTAAAAATTGTTTAAATAAATATTTCGATGTATTGATGTCCAAAGGGTTAAAACCTCTAAAATCAATAAATATGATTGAGAAAAGCTAAACATTTACGAAGAGTCATAAATTATATAAATATGATGTTAGAAATATATTATTTATTTGTAAATAACTTTAAACATAGCCCATGTCATGTACTTATGAAATATATTGAAATACTATAATATTCCGATAAAGGTTTGATATTTTTTTTTAAAATATCCTTGAATTTTGGGGAAACAAATACCATGTCACTTTGTTATTAAACCATGTACGAGCTAAGTAAGATAATCAAAATCCTTTATTTTACCAAAACGATGTAAAAATGTGTAGTATAACCATACTTTTTGACCAACCTTTGGGAATCAAAGGGTTAATTATTCAAAACTGCTTTTCACACAAATGCCCAAAAAATTCAGAAGATACAACCGAAAGAGGGCGCCACTATAATAGCTAATTAAAAATTCGCTGACCACTTTTCAGACAAGCACCTCATATATTCTTAGACCCTGGGGTATGTGCTAAAGGTTTAGAAAGTCAAATTACATGACTTTTACATTTTCAGCAGAACACTCTCAGCAACAGGAATATAGGATCACATTATCTGTTTCTCAAATAAATTTCCAAAGTAATAGGCCTAGGAAGAGGAGGGAAAGACCAAGAGTTAAAAGATGACAGACATAATTACGTCTCTTGCTTATCACCTGCGTTCGTTCGAATTTTCATTGGCTAGTTATCAAATACTACACTTGGGTTGTTTTAATTGATATAGGCATATTCCGTACACCTTTCTTTATCTTGATGTGAAATGAGAAGCTATGATATTGGTTAACACGCCATAAATGAACATAATATTATTTGAAGGTATTTCGAAAATTTTGAAACCGCCATTGATGACGTCATTTGTTTGTCGACTTTTCAGAGATGTATGGCATCTCAATACAGGTTTACATTATAAGCGTATGTCATCTTTGAACTCTGGTGTTATTCCCCCTCTGAGGCCTAGGGTTACAGTAACTAAAATCCTATCATCATATCAAGATTAGCACTTTCGCATATTTCACGTGAACACCCGCACAAGTAATAGGTCTTAGCAGACACTGCAGGATACCGACGGCAATAGCACGCGCCATTCTAAATAAGGAATATTTTGTTTTTAAATTATACACGTATTATTGTACATGTGCAAGCATTCATAGATCTTGTAAAGTGCTTATCTGTTTCTCAAATAAATTTTCCAAGTAAAAGGTTTACTAAAATCCTATACGCATGGTCCCCATCTAGTATATTGTGTCAACCCTTCCTTAATTTCCTTACCCTCATCTCAACAAATTCAATCCCCCTAGCACTTCTTCTCCTTTTTGATGTGGTCGAATATTACGCAGCAAAAATTAACACACGACAAATGATATATAGTCCAGAAACAATAAAATAGTAGGGAAATAGTGAACCTATTTACTTAAAAGAGGATCTTCTCTCCATTGTATGGAAACTTATTAAAATAAATTTCTTAAAGTATTTTTATTATGAAAATCTAATAAAATCCGACGATTATATACATGTCCACTAGCAGGATTTCAAAAGCTATATGAAAAATACCTAGATATGCTTCTACAGAAATTCCAATGGAAGCCACGTAGTTTGGATAGTCAGTATGGTAAAATGGGCTCGCGGCTTGTTTTTATTTTCTATTTCTGTTGTAAGTTCTAAATTGATTTATGTATAAATCCTCATTAAATCGGTGACAAAAATCCTATTAATCTTCTTATGTTTTGAAACCTACATTCATTTTCACAAAGTTTTTGTTAGTTTTTGCTAGCTTCATATATTCCCACAGAATGAACACATAAAATGAGAAAATAATTCAGTAAATATTTTAGGATTACGTTTGAAAATACAGACTCTAACTTGCATAATGCAATGTTACCAGCTAGGCCATTAGGTAATTGTTTTAAGAAGTCATCAATAATATGCACGCAGTTTTGTGCACGTAGTTTGTGATTTCTGGCTAAAATAGGCGCGCAGTTTGTGTTTTATTACTTCTTTTTGTCATGTTCATCTGATTTAATACGAAATATTTTGTATTGTACGTGTTACATCGACCTGAAGCTCATAGTAAGTAGCCTGAGAAAGAATGGAGAGGCACTTCTGCGTTATTGTGGTTTTGAATTTTGGAGCTGGATAAAAACCGATCTTGAGGGATCTCTTTGAATTTTTGCTCCCAGCCCTTTGATGACAGTCTATCAATTTGCAATGCCTTCCAGCACTTTATCCTGATCTGCAGCAGCTAGCGACCTTCGCCAAGTGCCTACACCGTAGGTACAACCGCTTAAGATGTGGTTGATAGAGAAATGGGCGGCTTTGCATTAGATGCAGTCTTTAGAGGACTTAAGAGTCTCAATAGCTCTAATTTTGGAGACCTTGAATTTTTCTATGATATATGACATTGGAAGTTGCAGCTTGGAAGAATAGAGATTAGTGGCCCTGAAGCTAGGTGGAACTCCTAATTTTTACAAAAGGTGTTAAGCTAGCTGGATAAAATAACATACCTGTAATGCTGCAAGTATAGTAAATCCGATCTCTGGAGTATCTTCCACATTATATAAAAGTCTGTACATATTGAGATCCTCTTCCGTTGTTTTAACAATAATGTCTTCATGATCATGTTCATTTCGCGTTGCCCCTTGCCCGTTTTCCATGGGAGATTCCGAGTCATCTTTAGTCTTCTCCATTTTAATTTAACTCAGAGAGTCTAAAGATAGGCCAAGATATATAATTGAAACAATTAACAAAACACTTTTCCCCTGCTCTGTTATTTAGATAAAAAAAAATTAAGTACGTATCAGAAGACGGTTATCTGTTGATATACCTACTAAAACTGATAACTAGCCGGCCAAGTCAAGCTATGTGGTTGATCTCAGCATCCCATACCTCCATATTAAACTTATCTACCTAATTGAACATTAAGCTGTCAGGATTAACCGGCCCTTAAGACACTTTTCTCCAAGGGGTGCGGTTTTTACAAAAGAGAATATAAATTGTCATTTTTTTGCTGCACTAATCAAATCGCGTAAAGCAGAGGGGGGGGGGTCGGTTACTCCCTATATTGGGACCACTCAGCCTATTTTGTAGCATTTCATTGTTTTCGTATTGTTTTTAGACAAAATATTGTTCGGCAATTCAGAGAAACATTGGAATAGGGGAGGGTGTGCTACAAGGGCATTAATGTTTACCCGAGAACTTTTACCAGTTCAAGATCACATCCAGTGATTTCTGCACTCTTTCAAGTGTTTCAATAGAATCAATCTAAAGAAATTCAGATTTTTTCAATCATTCTCTTCTTAGGGGGCATTCTCTTGCAAGGGGGCAGCACGGGAAAATTTTACTAATTCAAGATGCTGTCTTGTTAATTCTGAGCACTGTTAATGTGTTTGAGTAAATGAATGCTTTTGTTTCGGGGTGGGGTACCAGAAATTTTTATGATTTCATTATGTCCACTTGGTGCTTTCTGGGCACCTTTTAAGTGTTTAATTAAAATTAACAAAAGCAACTTCCAAACTTTCCAATTGTTTTGCGGGGGTTGTGAGGGGTTGCCAACTCCCCCTAGAAAATTTTACACTTTTAAGATACTATTTGGTGATTTCTGGGCACTTTCAAAGTCACGCCAGGTGATCGTACAAAAATGATGGAGGGGAGGGGGAGGATTAGGCGATTTCTGCAAGAAAACTCAACAAATTTGGAAGATTTATTTTTTCAAGAGAAAAGTTACAACTGAATTGCCAAATGAATAGGCGCAGTGCATGGCAAAATATGTTAGGTCATCCAGTATTTATTTTCTTAAATGGGAAAAAGTGACTTTCATTTTAAAATATAGTGTTTGGCCAAAATAAAGTTCAATTTCACACCACATTACAAGTCAATGAGTCCTCCCTTGGTCACGTTATCAGCAGTAATTCTTTTCAGATAGGACCTTAAAAGCTTCGGGGTGTGAATTTTCTAATCCTCTTAAAACCTTTTAAGGCATTTTTGAAGAGTTTCCAACTCAATATCCATCCAACCCGAAAATAATTGCTGCTGTTAAGATGGCCCGGGAGGACACATTTACTAGTGATTTGGTGTTAAATTGAACTTAATTTTGGCCAAACACTAAAGATTGAAATGCCTGTTAATTTTTTCACATTAGAGAGTTGAACCATGATACTTGCCGAATCAATGTAACTTTGGATAAATTATATGATACATACCGTGTACAATGAAGACAATGGAATATGTCTGCTTAGGGGGAATACTTTCAGGACACCCTGTATGTTATGTTTTGAGACAGAGTTAACTCTTAAGAGGGAAAATGCATTCCTTTGGGATAAAGTGGAAAACAATATTTCCCAAAGTATTTTCCCATAGGAAAAACTCATGCAATCCATTGTTTTCAGCTTAATTTTGGTCACCCACAATTGACATCTTTTAAACCCCCGATTGGATGCATTTTTTCTTTTAAGAGGATAACTCTGTCACAAAACGCAACATATGTAACAAACATTAAAAAACAGCTGCGGAAAGGGCTGAAGAGCAGACATATCTCAGACGAAATATGTTAATGGTGTGTTTGCAACTTCCCTGTCTCAAGCTCCAAATTTTTTCCTCATCTCTATGAGTACTTTTCCTGGAGGTAATGCATTGCATTGCATCGTTCATTTTTGCCAATCTGTGTGGTAGCTTTAAATAAGTAAAGTTTCAAACAGCACGCCTAGTAGGACGTCATTTAAGTCCTGAACTGTTGGTTTGGTTTTGAGGGATAAGAATAAAGGCATTGGATATGGGTAGTTGGGGGGGGGTGGCCTGACTTTTTACTGATAATGGCTTGGAAATATAAAATATATGTGCCTGAAATTCATGTCAGTTATTCCTCAATGTTTGTTTATTAAGTGCACTTAATTTGAAGGAAAATCATTCATGCCTTATAGCTCCCTCAAAAAATTCTCATGAGTTCTGGGACAAAACTGGGACAAAGTGGTTGCCAATCTTCTACTATTAGGGTCCCAGTAGGGCTCTAATCTATTATTCAAAAATACTTAACAAAGTTTGTTTAGAATTATATCTAATACTTGCAATGCCACTGTAGACCATTGTTGCCCGATTTATAGCAAAAACATTGACTTTTGCACGTTGGTGATGATGCGCCTTTTTTAATAGATCTCATATCTTTGAAGGATATCAGTTCAAAAAAAATACTAGATGACCTAACATATTTTGCCATGCACTGCGCCTATTCATTTGGCAATTCAGCTGTAAATTTTCTCTTGAAAAAATAAATCTTCCAAATTTGTTGAGTTTTCTTGCAGAAATCGCCTAATCCCCCCCCCCCTCCATCCATTTTGTACGATCACCGGGATTGATTATGACAAATTAAAATATTTGGAAAATGCAGAGACATAAAAAAATTGACAAGCAAGTCAAGATTAATAAATGGAAACAAAACGTGTCAACACTTCTTTCTAGTAAGTATGAAAAACATCATACTACATCAAGAGCAGTACTGTTCAATATCACTGTAAGTGTTTGTAGGCACCGCGGATAAAAAACGTTTAGTTGAGAATAATTGGAAATGTATGGCTTTGTATTCAGATGATGATAGAAAAAACGATTATCTGTAGTTGTGTTTCGGGCTGAAGATCTCACGGAGTGTGATCTGGAACATAGGTACATGTATGCCATTTCTCAGTTTAAGGCTCCACATCTGTTAATGTGCATTTATGAAACATATCATTTTGGTAAGAACACATCCACCCTATTGAAACGTGATTTCCAAATATTCTCAACTAAATACTTTTTCATTTTCAGGAGTGACACTCAACAGAATGAATGCACACCTGTGTCATGTAAAATTAGCCTATAATATAGGTAATTTTAAAGTCAAAATTAGTCAACATTCTGTTTGATACTATTATTCGGAGGATGTTATGACTTGTGTCCGTTTACAGAAATGGGCAAGTTCTTGTATACACTCGTACTAGGCCCCTTTCATAAGGGAATACAACAAAGCACTGTATAGGTGAGAGAGAATTTGACCGCACACCCCATTCTCAACACTTCATACAACCGGTAGTTTGCGACGTGAATTTGGAGTCAAGTTTGTAGGTACTCATTTTTTAGACGTTTTGACAGAAAATGAGCCTTTATTCCTCATAGAGACATCGACCATATGCCTATAGTATCACAACGTACCTATCACAATACCTGAATTGCAGTATCACTGGTGATCCACTCGATTACGCTGGTTACCGAAACGGTTCGTGCTCTATTGAACATACAGTTCGCCAGCAAGGAATCCCCCCCCCCCCAAAAAAAGAAATTGGCCATCTCATCTTGCCATGTGATGATGTCTGAGCACTTTTAAAGTATCTGAGACATGGAACAGAATAAATTGAGAATTTTCTTTCAACTTTTCTTTTTTTGTGGTGTGTGGTGGGTGGGTAGAAATGTCAAAAAGAGTAAAAAATCGCCCCCAACGCACCCCACCCCCATCTGACGGCCCTACATCACCCGTGTCATATAAGTAGGATACGATTTCAGTCGCGGATACCAAAATTATCTAATGTTGTTATCACCATAGATCTAGTATTCATGGATAAATGTCTCCGGCCCGTTATGAAGGCTATGAGTATTTTGATTTGAGGACTCAAGTATTCAAATCCTTGCTCAACTTTTCTGATATGAAGTAAATCAAACGCAGATTCAGAATACTTAAGTCAACAAGTCGAAAGTTTATAAAAACTACTCATCATAAGGTGATTTTCATCACAGAAACAATACCAATACATCAACAAGACAGGCAATTCACAGATTAAACATTTTATTTAATCTTTTTCGTACAGTGTAGCGGAAAGGCGATCTGATGCTATTTCTTATTTATTGATGGAAATGTTATTATAGGAAATGTTATAGGAGCAATCGTTGTTGTTTCTGTTGGCATTGTACCCATTGTTGTTTGTACTTCACAGTAGCACTTGACCTTTCCGCTGCAGTTCGGATCTTCTGGACACAGGCATTTTGTACCTTCCTCACATACACCGTTTGCTTTGAAGTCACCATTCTTTTTTATTATTCCACATTTCTCACCCTCGCTCTTCTCTTTGCTGCTGCTACTAGCGCTTGACTATTGAAAGAAATACAATATATATGTTGTTTTCATTAACGGTATGTTTATGTTTAGACACTAAGAATGTACATAAATCATCCCTAGTGAATTACCAGGTGTTGTTTTAATGGCATGAATAATAGAAAATGAACCTAAAATAAAGTTTCCATATTGCTTATTAAAAATAGCTCACCGAAATTACGGCGGTCGCCAACGTTACCAAAACAAACGCTTGGATTAAACACGTATTCATCCTCATTGCACTAAGTTTACTCATTCAAATCCTAAGCTAGATGCTGTAATAAAAGGCATATGAATGAGGCCCATTAAATATAAGTTCTCGAAGGCCAGAAGTCCCAAAGGCCTAAAAAAGAAATTTGCCCTCTTCACTAAACTGCTACCCCTTTATCATGCACTTGTACTTGTATAAGTATAATTGTGTAAGAAAGTGAATGAATAAAATAAATTCTTTACAAGTGGCATGGTATTTACAAAAGAGTCGTATCGATATGGAGAACTTTTTGAACACACGTTTCTCTTAAACCAGTCATAAAAAAACAAAACTAAAACTTTGACACATCGTCAATTTAATGGTCATCTATTGAACGGTAACAATATAATTTGAAAAATATATATATATACTTTCATCTATATTGTTATAGAAAACACATCAAACACTTGTTTTGTTCTTGGTATCATGTTTCCAGAGTGAAATGAAACATCTTTCCGAACCTCATTGGAACAAAACGACATAAACACAACATGTTTAGGTCTCTCAATATTGTAATTGTACAAAGGAAATTTTGGTTGATTTTAAAGAAGTTTCTTGTTAATGAAATAAAAAGTTTATCTTGATTTTTACCTATTTTGGAGGGATTTTGTTTTAATTTTTGAATTCTTTTTTAAAATCAACCAAAAATTCCTTTGAATAACTATAATATTGAGAGGTCTAAAAACATGTTGTATATGCTATTTTGTTCCAACAAGGTTCGGAAAGACATTTTATTTCATTCTCAAGAATTGGTAGAAAGGAGCAAAAACAATTACACTAAAAGAACAAAAAATGTTAATATTTCTAAATAATTCTCGCATTAAATTGTTGTCAATCAGTCAACATAAAATACAGTGTTTTTACAGAATGTTTTCAATGATTGGTTTAAGAGAAAAACATTGTTGAATTCAGTTCTCCATATCGATACCAATCCTTTATATACAATATTTTTCTCTAAATTCAATCTTGAAAAATACTTGTGGATCCAAGTCGAAAGTCTTGATATAATGAAATATTTTTTCTCTGAAGAAATAAATAAAGTTATCTACATAAACAGAGTTAAATAGAATTTTAATATAAACCACAGAGATGAACTTACATAGAACAGTGCATACAGTTTTTTGTTTTTGTTCAATTAAGCAAGTCCACATTGTGTTATCAACCACTTTAGGTTCAAACATATTTGAAATGAAATAAAAAAGAAAAATTACAATTGTTACATTTTTGAGTAACTTAAGTGAATGACCTACCTCTGTCTTGATTCAGATTTCTTCCCAAATGGTTGAGTTTTGCTGAATGTTTACAGTTATTTAAACAATTGTTCTGTTTATTCAAATGATTTTTCGGTCACAGCTTTGTGGATTAACTTAGTTGAAATCAATAGGGCCTACGTGGCCGGGGAATTTTCAAATTTTGAACAACTCACGAGGCTTCAGCTAAAAATTGTTTACTGAATATGTAACGGACAGTGGTGTTCGTGACTGAAATAATCGTCAACGAAGAAGATCATTTTCAAGACATTGGCATATCTGGGAAATCTCCTTCTCTCGGAGGAATACACCAATCACGTGATTGTGATAAGCAAAGATGTACGAGTGACACAATAAAAATGACACCCATCCACACAATGTTTCATAACTTTTTGTCTGAAAACTTCTGACTTGCTTGTTTTTTCGCACATTTAAACTACACTCCATACATTTTGCAACTCCACAAGAAGTTTCAGATGACTTGCCGATCACCTAGATGCACATTTATGAGCGTTATAAAATGTGTCATCTATTCCTTTGCTGGCACAGGATCTTACACAAAAAACGACACTCATCTTTTGTAACACAATTTTGGAAATAAGTTATCATGATTTAATAAACGGCAACTACATTAATTTGTGTTTAATTGAATGGACTCCATTTCCCAGAAAGTACAAGCCAGAATCATTAAGCTAGTGTTTACAAAGTTATGCTACAAAAGCTGGGAGGCATTTTTTGTGTAGAATCCATCTGTGTCTGCAAAGGAATAGACGACATTTAGAGCAAATGTTGTAACGCTCATAGAATTTGACTCAATTGAGCCACACACGTGCTTTCGCATTATGTATGGTTGGCTTACCCGCCCAGAGAATGCACGCGTTGTTTACGGGTGTGTAGGCGTTAATAACGCTCGTGCAGATGTAAAATTACGCCCGTACAGACGTAAAATTACGCATGTGTAGGCGTAAATTACGCCCGTGAAGAAGTGAATTCTACGGAGGTTCGAACAACATTTACGGGCGTAAACTCACGGCGTTAAAATGATTAATTACGGGCGTTAAGACGGTTATTTTACACGCGTTGAGAAACATCTTCACACCCGTCGAGTTTATTTTTATCACCGTAAATTATAAACCAATCAGCACCTTGCTTATATAATGATTCAATGCATCCTTGCTAAAATAGCAACTCCAAGATCTTTGCACAAGTAAATAACAATCAAAAGCTCGCTTACATTTCAGTGTGTTGCATTGAGGCCCTTGAATATTCGTTCAAGATTGTTAGATTTAACCAAAAAAGTATTCAATTTCTTGAGCAAATTAAAAGGCAAATTGAAGATACTTTGTCGGCAGTTATCAACACCCATTGGAGAAACGACAAAATTGCAGTATATTTTTAGAAGGTATACATGTTTGGTTTCTAAATACGAATCTAGGCGTCGGCTTCAGAGGCAGAGACTTAGCTCACACGCATTGCAGCTTACAAAGCACTATGCATTCAGATCGCTAGTGTATTCCTCTAAATGTGTTCAGATACTAGAATTATAGTATCTGATCAACTGCATATTGACTCTAGACTATAGCTATATCCTATAGATCTGGCATTTGTACTGAAAATGTCAGATGAGCCTATATACCTAGCCAATGTTCAAATTTGGTAATAGGGAGATGTGTACTTTTTGGAATCTTTATGCAGTCCTCTTTTGAGTCACATGTTACGATGTACATCTTTCACATTTGCACAAATAGTGCACCAAGATACCCAGAAAAGAAATAATGTTTCATATGCCATCAATTGCAATAGTTGTACCTGACGCGATCATGAGTATGTTATTAACTTGCACAAGGGTCTGTTTGGAGTTGCACTTTTAGCTAGAATGCATTGTATCATTATGATTATGTAAGCAAGATACTGATTGGTTCATAACTTGCGGCGCTAAAATAATCTCGACAGGTGTATAGATGTTTCTCAACGCGTGTTAAATAATGTCTTAACGCCTGCTATTGAACATTTTAACGCCGTTAGTTTACGCCTGTATTTGTTTTAACGCGTGTAGAATTCAGTTCTAAACAGGCGTAATTACGACTGCACGGGCGTAATTTTACGTATGCACGGGCGTAACTAACGCTTACACACCCGTAAACAACGCGTGCATACATAGGGTAGGTTGGCAAACCATAATTATGTCCACGTTAAATATCCCAAAGGACAAGACTATGTTAATAGACAAGCAAGTTATGCAACGTAAGGTGGGTGTCATTTTTTGTGTCACCCTGTCTTTTACTGCATGAATTAACAATGACCTGCTTTCTTATTTAAAGGAATATTCCTGGCCAGACCATTTCTCTCCTAATATGGTAGCTATAACCATATATATACTTTCCATATTTAGCAAAACAGGGAAAACTGTTTTGATATGGTCAATATTGATCACTTGAAAATGTAGTGCCGAATTCCAATAGGCTGCCATCTTTTAATATTTCACTCAGGAAGTGATGTCATCAACTCTCAACTTTGCATATAATACTATAAGTAGCTATTAAGAGTTACAAAACCAGCTGAATATTCTTTTTCAATTTTGTCTATGATTTAATCCTTCTAAAAGTCTCTTCTTTTATTCTAAGCTGACAAGCTCTGAAAACATTTTGCGCATAAAGTAAGGATCACTCGTCTAGAAGTGATATTGTCCTATTTTCCTATACTGTTATATGCAAGGTCATGAAAGTTGAGAGTCGATGACATCACTTCCTGAGTAAAATCTTAAAAGATGACAGCTTACTGGAAATGAGCACTACATTTTTAAATTATCAATATTGACTATATTAAAACATTTCCCCATGTTTTGCTAAATATGGAAAGTATATATATGATTATAGCTATCACATCAGGATAGAAAAGCCTCATTTGATATTGCCATCCGTTCTGAAAAATACAGAATGTGAACTTAAATTGTAGCCTGTCATCTCAACTTTTGATCCACTGATCATCAGTGAAATGACAGTTCTTTGCTGTTGAATAATAGAGTTCCTCGTCTTGTCTCGAACTAAGCTAAAAGGTAGGCTTCAGCGAATGGACGAATTAGTGAGAAAAGATGTAAATCAATTATTGATATCTCGCCAACCCCGAGATATATTGGGGTGCTGTCCAAAAACTGTCACGCAATATGTACCAATACTCTTACCAAATATCGCAGGGGTCACTAGGGAACATGGTTGGGTACAATTGTCTATTGAAATATATTATCATTGGCTTCACAATGGCATAAAACATAGCCCAGATGGTGTTGATACAGTCCATTCGCCCTGCTTGGAATCGATAACAGATCCTTTGAACTATTAACTTTTGATACATGTACTACAGATATATTAGAGAGATTTCGCACCTAGTGAAAGTACAACTTATAACGTATACTTATACTTATAGGTAAACGTACAAGGTGTTTCATAATGTGAGCTTTTCATCAGGAAAGATCTTCTCGGACTGTAATAAATACAGGTCAAAGGGATGCCATTTGTAGTTTCTTGAATTGTAGCATGTTTAGTTGATCCAAATGTGTTTGTCTAGAATAAAATAGGCTCATAACAGGATCTTAAGAGGTTCTGGACAAATCATTTGATTCTGGACTTGTCATATTTTTTTTTCAACGAAATCACATCCAAGGGTTGAATTTTTATTAGCTATTTAGAGAGTGAGTCCTGCCTAGTATTAATTTCAATAAAAAAGTTAAAATAGAACCCTATTTGAGAGTCAATCTAATACTTACATTACATTGATAAATTAAGGCAAATCCTGAAATATTTTTAAAGTGCATTTTTTTATGAAATATTATCCAGCAAGTATTTAGATGAAACGGTCTTATTTAAATACAAATCATAACATGATGATATTTTTCATTAAACATTTTTCAATGAAATTCAATTGAAGGGTCAAGATAAAACAAGCTAATTTAGGTGAAAACCCTTACATGATGATGTGTTTTCATAACTTCTTTCATAAAATTCCATCAAGGGGTGAAGATAAAATTATCGAATTTAAGTGATTAAGGATCACGAGGATATGTTTTCTTTGATATTTTCTATGAAATCCCATCCAATGGTCAAGGTAAAATTTTGATTTTGATTTGGTATTAGGTCACGTCTTCGAAAGATTCATATAAGGCCCATAGAACCATATAGGAACGTCATTTTGAATGTCACGTGATAGATCCATATAAGGCTTTTAGAACCATGTATGGAAAGATGAGGGGAAGCCCCTGACACCTGTTTCACGATTTTATCCAAACGTTGTTCGGATCATTTCGGTTTTTATGCACTTCATTATTGTACCGAAGTTTGCCGATTCGATTCGTCGTATTTCGGAATCCTGGTGACAATTTTATACTCCATTGGAGTATTTTTGACCTACTTCTTATGACGGAAATTCCCGAACCTTGTTCGGATTAATCCGGATTTTCTGACCTACTTTATCTACCGAGATTTCACGAGTTAACATTCGTCTCATTCCGGAATCCTGGTGACAATTTTATACTCCATTGGAGTATTTTTGATCTACTTTTTCTGGATTTTGCCCTACTTATTATATCTTGACAACAAGCAAATCAAAAAGTTCGACATGAACGGGTCTCGATCAACTAACCTAGACAATGGAAGCCAGGCACGCTAACCATGAGACCAACGAGCTACCGATATGAAAGAACAAAAGTATTATATATTTATACCGAGCGTCAATTCAAAATGATCCTCACTTAAATACGACTCGTCAGTTGTATCCAGAATAGTAGAACGCCTATGGCGCTAGTGAATAACCAAGTCCCAGGTGAGTGGTTCGTATCCCTCCGTGATATACTATTTTTGTTTTATTAAATACGACAGAAAGGAGCAAGGTGTAGGTTGAAAACAAGATGTTAGTTTGTTTCAAAACAGTTTGGAAACATTAATCTCTGATAATTTAAGGTTTTCCACTCCTGAAGGGCCTCTAGATCTATGAAATTCAATAATCCACTCAGTAAAAATACGATTTCTCTGCAACCTGATGTCCAATCAAGATCATTCAAATATATATGTGTTCCTGACACGTTTGGGCGTCCGGGAATAAAATTGCTTGTGAAAACTGGCTTTGTATAAAAAACCTCCTACCTCATACCCACCTACCCA